ATTATGAAGAATTTCAAAAATTTACATGTGTGAATCTTAAAGTCCTTCATAATAACTTTCCTACACTCAGTCATTAATAACTAACAGTTATTATGAAAAGCCACTGAGCAAAAAGTTTAAAAAGCTCTGAAAATACTATTTTTGTTCAGAAAGTTTTTGCGTGGAAATGACTAATAAGGTTCAAAAACACTTAGATGTAGGAATGCTCACTGGAGTGCAGCTTATATTTAAAAAAATTTGCAAACAAATATCCCACTTGATAATCCTGACATGCTACATGCTGGAACACCATTCAACCTTTTAAAATCAGGCTGGAGAACTGATTTTCAAGAAACCGACTTCATTTCAGAATGAAAAAAGTTTCCTATACACTACCTAGTGGGGGAAAAAAAGGAGTAAACATTCACTTTTCCCTAAATATGTAAATGAATTTATTCTAAAATATTAATTAGTTTTATCTCCATTTGGAATTATGAATAATTTATAAAAATCATTTTTGTTTGTATGTTTTGATTTTTTTCTACAATTGAACATGTACCAATTGGGTAACTACTAAAAATATAATGATGCTAATATTTTTTAAAAGTTTTTCCAAGTACATTTAACTTGTGTTTTCTAAATGACATGCTGGGAAGAACACCTGGGAAGCCACACTACCTGCTTGTCAGCTTGAGGTTCTTAAGATAGGCTTCTGCTTGTGATGCCATGACCTGTAACTTAAACACTTCACTCTCCTTCCAGTTTTCCAGCACAGATACCTGCCAGTAGATTAGAGGATATCTTAAGTATTTTACAAATGAAATCCTGAAACTATTTTAAGAGTTAAAACTTAAACATTCCAAATCATTTTTTCCTTAAGTAAGATCTGATGACAGGAACAGCAGAACTTGATTATGTCATTTTCCCAGGCAAACACAAATTAAAACTTTGGGATGTGAAAACAGAATAACAAAATGACACTAAAATTCTGTGCTTCAGGATCATTCTTGTGGATATGAAACTGTATATGGCTTTCTGCTTAAACCATAGACAAAACAGAGCCAGGTTAATTGCATGCAACTATGGAATGGTGTTATCTATAGTCCTGGCCCATGGTGAGGAAGGGCCCAGGGACCCACGGAATAAAACCCGAGGCTGTACCTTCCCAACCAAAAAGCCTCTAAGAAGTTGTTTCAGCATTAACACAAACAGCCTTTGGGGAATGCTTTCAAACTTTTGGACTTCCCCTTAGTCAACTTGCCATTTTTGCAAAAATCACTGCAGGAAATGTAAAATAGTCTCATTTTAATTCAGTTCTCAGTAACCTTGACAGGACCCTCCAGGCAAATTGGCTTGCCAAGCAGTGATAAATGTGAATCAAACAAATTTAGGAATACAGACACTGGGGTAGGGCCCACAAAGTATTTGTACTTTCACTCTTTCCCCAGAAGCAGTAACAAGGGTCTATATTTAATTGAAAGGTCTAATATTTGCAGACTACATAAGTTAATTGTTTTTTTATTTTCCCAGAATAATCATAGATACATATACCAATACTTATCATTTGTTTCTCAGATAGCTTGATGTTCTTAAGACAGGCTAGGAAAACATACATAAAATAAAAATAAAGCCAGATGTTGTCTTTTCATTTTTGTCTCAGTAGTTTCTCAAATAGTACAATGACGTTGGTATATATTCTTTTAGGGGGAGGGAGGAATATATTCTTAATAAGGAGGTTATTTTCATTTGCTTTTTAAGAACTGGCAAATGTTTTATGGTTGCCTACATTTTTATATCACTTGATTAAATATGAAGCTATGCAAAATGTAGAGTATGGGAAATGACTGAATTATACTGTCAAGGAAAACAGGTTACAAAATCTGATGTACATTATGAGTACATCTATGTAACAAAGCATGTATAAAAATTAGAAAGGAATAGCCAAGGAAAAAGAGTGGATATTTTAGGGAAAAAGGATTATGAGTAATAGGATAACCCTAACCTCCATACTTGCCAGTAATACAGTTATGCCTCACATGTAATTAAAGAGACCCAACAGTAAACAAATGAAACCCTTCCATCCACCAGTCATAACCTCACCTCTGCAGCCACGGCTCTCTGATGACTCTCTTCATAATGCTCTTTTCCTTTCTTTATACATTCTTCTATTTTCATCTTCTCATTTGTAAATGTATTACTGCAAATGTTAAAAGAAAAAAAACTTTAAAACAAATCTAGGGAGTAATACAAAGGTTTCAGGACAGCTTTCTACATTTTCTAGAGTAACTTCCTGCCTCATATTTTACCACACAACATACAGATTCATATGCATTCTCTGAACTTCATGAATGATCAAAAGAAGAAATGAGTATTTGGTAGGAACGCTGAGAAAGAAGCGAAGACTCTGTACAGTTCACTAGTTTTATGAAGGTAGGTAGAGTATAATCTGGCTACTTTGATAAACTTTACAAAACTTTCTTCACCAGCCAGAAATTCTATTCTCACACAAGGAAATGATCCTAAAGAATAAAGTGATCTGTACAAAACTGATCATGGCCATATTTTTGTAACAGCTAAAAAGTGTCAGTGAAAGTGGTGGCTAAAAAAGATGACTGTGGACCATGATGGGAATAGAAATGTGCATGTGAAACAATATTAAATGAGAAAAGCAAAATGTGACTGCTTACTACTAATACATTGATCACAAGTATGTGAAAACATACAAGGACAATTAATAAAGATTACAAGGAAATTTTTTGCAGCTTTATAATTAAAAAAATTTTTTTTAATTATTATTATTTTTTTTTTGGTATTGGGGATTGAACCCAGAAGCACTTTACCACTGAGCTACATTCCCAACCCTATTTTATATTTTATTTAGTGACAAGGTCTCACTGATTTGCTTAGCACCTCCCCATTGCTGAGGCTAGCTTTGAACTCATGATCCTCCTGCCTCAGCCTCCCAAGCCACTGGGATTACAGGTGTGTGCTACCATGCCCAGCAACAATTTTTAATAAACATATAATTACAGACTAACAATGTAAGAAACTATCATTCTATAGCTGAGTAACATACAAGAAGTTTTTCTGTGATGCAGGGACAGAACCCAGGCCTTCATACTTGCTAAGTAAGTGCTTCTACCACTGAGCTACACCCCTAGTCCAAAATAAAAGTTTTTAAAACACATTTTTAGTTTCAATCAATTCAAGAAAATAAAAGGAACGATTGACAACAATATTTTTTATACTGACATAAAATAAAAGCAGAAATCTAGTAAAATCAAAATACTTCAAAAATACACTTAAACATTAGTTTAAAAATAAAAGATACATAATTATTTAAAAGAAACCGGGGCAGGGGAGGAGCAACAGATTTAGAAGTCTTAGAATACTTGTGCTTCTGATAGTAAAAGTGTAAGAAGGTACTAAAAATAAATTTAAATTTCCTTTGCCTGATTTCAAGGGATTGATCCAGATGTAATTCAGGTTTGTTATCCATCCCATCATTTTTCGGGGTAGACCTATAAAAGCATAGTCACCAAATTTTAATTAATTTTCAGATTTTTTTCAATACAACTTTACACAGGAAAGCATATCTAGACACAGCATTCTTAAATTTTTTTGTTTCTATATTTTGTTTCACTTCTAGTATCTTCTAATTCTAATCTAATCATCTTCTAGTATCTCATTTAATTTTCTTCTTCAGTGCTTTTAATCTTTCTTGGATTTCTTTTTTTCTCTTGTTGCCATTTTTAAATTTATCTTTCCAATTAAGCAAGAATTTGGGGGTCATTTTCCTTGTGGGAAATTTTCCTTTATACTTGGAGAACAAATCATCTTCTTCTTCACTCTAAGTCACCCAATTACTGGTAAATCACTACCTTGGTCCAAGATGCATGCCTCAGGTGGTTTCAACCCGAGGAAGCACAGGTAATGAGACATCATCATCAGGGTTTTTCATTTAGATTAGAACACATGGACTCTCAGTCAAAATGCAACTAGCCTCCTCCTCCTTAACAAGACTTGGAGTGAAATTATAATATGCACCCACACTCTCTGATAACCCTTCAGACACAATGTGAAAGCCTCTGACTTAAGCGATGCCTAAACCAGGCAGATTCTGCCACTTTCATGCTCTCCTAATATTCCTATTTAGTTACTTGTACTTGATAAACCCCCCACGTTCCCAATAATAGCCAGTTTAACTGCCATCCCAGAAGAATAATGGTCTAGCTGAACTCAATCCAGATTGTAGGAACATGAGCAAATAAAATGGCTATCAACTTTAGCTACTGACTTTGAATGTTCGTTACACCACAGTGGATAAGCTGAGGAATCACATGACAACACTCACTGTTTAGAGCAGGAGGTTAGGAATGGATCACAGGGGACATAAAAAAACACACTTGGCCCTCTTATGCTCAGGATCTATACTCTAGCAAATTCTTCATATTAATAAGACCAAATTCTAATAATTTACAGATCCATAATAAAAGTATGAGTGAAGTAATCATTACAGAATTTTAGTGCTGGAAAGAACCTTAGATGTAATCAGCCCCCTAATTTTACCAATGAGGGAAAAGAAGGTCAAAGGTAATGTTCATAGTGAGAATGGTGTTCATGGCGTTCATATGAACAGGACATCAATTCCCTTGTTGATTCTCAGGCCCAATCCATTCTCACTTTTACAAAATTAATTTGAAAACACTATAAGTTTGAAATAGTTTTAGATGAGATCTCAATGGATGCTTTTTAAAATGAGATAAAAATACTGTGAAAACAGTACCTATCAATTTTACCTTGATACAGTTTGAAATTTAACATAAAAAGGTGAAAATAATAAAAAAATCCCATAATATTAAAAAAAGCAAGGATTATTGATTTCTATTGTTACTTACATTTCACTTGTATTTAAAACTTTTTTAATTTTCTTCTTCAGTGCTTTTAATCTTTCTTGGATTTCTTTTTTCTCTTGTTGCCATTTTTTAATTTCTCTTTCCAAATCTTGGAGGAACCAATCTAATTCTGTCTTTGAGATCTAAAAACATTTTAGAAAGTACTTTAATTAATGACAAGATTTACTTTTACTTAGCTTACACTGAGACACCTGAGTTCAAGGGAACAGTACACATAAACTTGCACCTATGCAGGCTATGCCCTGTGGCCAGCCATGGGTCAGAGACAACAGCTGCATCCTAACCACTAAGTGCATCTGAACCCAGGAAGGTTACACTGAAGAAGCACTTCAACGGGCTCACAGGTATTCACGCTCCACTCTTCAATCTACACGATTCCCCAATCTAGACATAATTTGTATGTTTACTTGACAAGTCTGAGGTTTTTTGTTTGCTTTTAAAAATGAGTGAGATGCCTCTGGCAGCTTTTCAAAATATTTATTTATTTATTCTAATTAGTTATACATGAAGCATTTCAATTCATAGTACACATATAGAGCACAATTTTTCATGTCTCTGGTAGAGTCACACCATTTATGTCTTCATACATGAGTACTTTATATATCCTAAAGATTAGTGCTCTACCTGATGTGCGTGTGGTAAAAATCTGCTCACATTCTGTAGGCTCTCTTCACCTCACTGATTCTTTTGCTGAGAAGCTTTTCAGTTTGAATTCATCCCATTTATTGATTCCTGATATTATTCCTTGCACTATAGGAGTCTTGTTAAGGAAGACAGGGCCTAATCAGACATGATGAAGATTTAAGCCTACTTTTACTTCTATTAGGCGAAGGGTCTCTGGTTTGATTCCTAGTCCTTGATCCAGTTTGAGTTGAGTTTTGTGCATGGTGAGAGATAGGACCTTTGTTTCATTTTGCTGCATATGGATTTCTAATTTTCCCAGCACCATTTGTTGAAGAGGCTTTTTTAAAAAAATATTTTATCTTTTAGTTATAGTTGGACGCAATACCTTTATTTCAATTATTTATTTTTTTTCTGTGGTGCTGAGGATTGAATCCAGGGTCTCACACGAGTCAGGCGAGTGCTCTACTGCTGAAACACAACTCCAGCCCATAATATATTGGAGGCTATCCTTCCTCCAATATATGGTTTTGGTGTCTTTGTCTAGCATGAGACATCTGTATTTATGTGAGGGTTTGTCTCAGTGTCCTCTATTCTGTATCACTGGTCTACAAGTCTATTTTGGAGCCACTATCATGCTGTTTTTGTTACTGTTGCTCTGTAGTATAGTTTAAGGTCTGGGATAGTGATGCCACCCATTTCACACTTCTTGCTAAGGATTGCTTTGGCTATTCTGGGTCTCTTATTTTTCCAGATAAATTTCATGATTGCTTTTTCTATTTCTATGAGGAATGTCATTAAGATTTGATTGGAATTGCATTAAATCTGTATAGTGCTTTTGGTAGTACGGTCATTTTGACAATATTAATTCTACTTATCCATGAACAAGGGAGATCTTTCTATCTTCTAAGGTCTTCTTTAATTTCTTTCTTTAGCATTCTATAATTCTCATTGTAGAGGTCTTTCACCTCTTTTGTTAAGCTGATTCCCAAGTATTTAATTTTTTTGAGGCTACTGTAAATAGGGTTGTTTTCCTAGTTTCTCTTTCAGAGGATTTGTCACTGATGTACAGAAATGCCTTTGATTTATGGGTATTGATTTTATATCCTGATTCTTGGCTGAATTCATTAATTAGTTCTAGAAGTTTTCTGATGAAGTTTTTTGGATCTTCAAGGTATAGAATCATATCACTGGTAAATAGTGATAGTTTGAGTTCTTCTTTTCCTATCCATGTCCCTTTAATTTCTTTCGTTTAATTCCTCTGGCTAGAGTTCCAAGAATGATGTTAAAGAGAGGTGATGAAGGAGGGCATCCCTGTCTTGTTCCAGTTTTCGGAAGCAATGCTTTCAACTTTTCTCCATTTAGAACGATGTTGGCCTGGAGATATGTTCCTGTTACCCCTAGTTCTTCTAGTGTTTTGAACACAAAGGGGTGCTGTATTTTGTCGAATGTTTTTCCTGCATCTATTTTGATGATCATATGATTCTTATCTTTAAGTGTCTATTGAAGGCATGTATTTATTTCTGTATGTTGAACTAACCTTACATCCCTGGGATGAACCCCACTTGATCGTGCTGCATTATCTTTTTGATGTTTTTGTATTCAATTTGCCAGAATTTTATTGAGAATTTTTACATCTATGTTCATTAGAGATATTGGTCTGAAGTTTTCTTTCTCTGATGTGTCTTTGTCTGATTTTGGAATCAGGGTAATATTGGCCTAGAGAATGAGTTTGGAAGTGTTCCCTCTTTTTCTATTTCATGAGATGATCTGAGGAGTACTGGTATTAGTTCTTCTTTGAAGGTCTTATAGAACTCAGCTGTGTATCCATCTGGTCCTGAGCTTTTCTTCGTTGGTAGACTTCTGACAGTGTCTTCTATTTCATTGGTTGAAACTGATCTGTTTAACTTGTATATATCATCCTGATTCAGTTTGCATAAATCAAATACTCTAATCTGTAGATGCCTTTGATATTTTCTATTTTATTGAAGTACAAATTTTAAAAAAAAATTTCTAATTATCTTCTGCATTTCTGTAGTGTCCATCATGATATTTCCTTTTTGATCACAGAGTTTAGTAATTTGAGTTTTCTCTCCTTCTCTTCATTAGCATGGCTAAGGGCTTATCAATTTTATTTATTTTTTACAAAGAACCAAATTTATGTTTTGTCAATTTTTTAAATTGTTTCTTTTGCTTCAGTTTCATTGATTTCAGCTCTGATTTTAATTATTTCTTGTCTTCTTCTGCTTTTGGTGTTGATTTGTTCTTCTTTTTCTAGGTCTTTGAGATGTGGTGTTAGGTCATTTATTTACTGACTTTTTCTTCTTTCAAGGAATGAACTCCATGCAATGAACTTTCCTCTTAGCACTGTCTTCACAGTTTCCCAGAGATTTTGATACATTGTTATCTATGTTCTCATTCACCTCTAAGAAGTTTTTTAATCCTTTTTGATGTCTTTTGCAACCAATTGTTCATTCAATAGCATATTATTTAGTCTTCAGGTGTTGGAGTATCTTCTATTTTTTATTTTATCAATGATTTCTAATTTCATTCCATTATGATCTGATAGAATGTAGGGTAGTATCATTACATTTTTGTATTTGCTAAGAGTTGCTTTGTGGCATAATATATGATCTATTTTAGAAAAGGATCCATGTGCTGCTGAGAAGAAACTGTATTCACTCATTGATGGATGAAATATTCTATCTATGTCTAAGTTATCAATTATACTTTTGAGTTCTTTAGTTTCTTTGTTTAGCTTTTGTTTGAAAGATCTATCCAGTGGTGAAAGAAGTGTGTTAAAGTCACCCAGTATTATTGTGTTGTGGTCTATTTAACTGTTGAACTTGAGAAGAGTTTGATGAATGTATATGCTACACTGTTTGGGGAATATATATTTATTATTGCCATATCTTGTTGATGAAGTATGCTTCTCTCTTTTTTTTAATTGGTTGTTTAAAACATTACAAAGCTCATGACGTATCATCTTTCATACATTTGATTCAAGGGGGTTATGAACTCCCATTTTTACCCCAAATACAAATTGCAGAATCACATCGGTTACACATTCACGTTTTTACATAATGCCATA